TTTTTTTTTTTTTTGTTTTATTCCTTGTTAAATAAAATTCAATTAGATAAACACTTGATACAGTGAACATTTAAAAGGCACAGATAAATAACTGTTATTTTGGTAATCAATTTACTTAGGAACGTTTAATCCACAATACAGCACATTGTATTAAATTGTGTGTTGATGTATACTGTAACAAATATTAGTAGAGGTCACAACGATCTTTGATCGCTTAATTAAATTAGTCATTTGCATTGGGGAAATAAAATTCTGCTGAGCAGTCTTCCTGTTTGGAAAACTGTATGAAGTATTTTTTCAAACTGATCACCTAAATTTGGTATATATAATTATGAAATGTATAAAAATATACTAAAAACCACTTGACTTTGACATCGTCATCATTCTTTGTTTCTCCTCTGATCTAATGATCAGTTTTTTATGCATAAAAATATTGTTAATCCAATATTATATAGTTTTAAAAAAGTTGATAGCTATAAATTCACCACTTTCTTATACCATTATTTTTTTTTCTGTGAAAAATACATTTCAGAAAAAAAAACTAAACAGCGTTTCTTTGCTGTTATCTGTCTAACTATGTGACTGAACAATTTTAACAAATGCACTTTAGAACGATATGGTAAATATTATAAAATTTATTCTGTTGTAAAATAAACAGTTACGATGCATATCTTATGATTCCAGAAGATAAGCCTTTTTATATATATTTTTTTCATCAGTCGCCACTCTCTAATTACCCTCTGAATTAAGTCTTAACGTCTGACCAGTTGTCAACGTTTGTGGGACTGTCATCCTTGTTCTACTGTAGTCTGCTGTGGTAGAGCAGTTACCAACTACTGTTAAATCCTTTTAAAACTGGTTGATCAATACAGAGATATTTATTTTTGTGAAAAAAAATAACTTTTTTAGCTAACAGTTTAATAAAAGTGTTGAAAATTATTAAATTTTTTTTCTACACTAAGGAACTGATGTTGAAACGAAAATAAGCACCTGAATTTTTTTGAACAGACATTGAAGATTTGGATTTCAAACTAGAAGTCGAGAAAATATTGCTCTACAAAACAATATTTGAGCAAATAATGGTTTTTGATATATTTTGATTACTGATGAAAAGTGATTGTAAGATAAAAGCGAAGAACAGAAACGATTATTGTTTGAAACAGTAAAAATGTTATCAGTTTTTATCTGACCAACAAAACCGTCTCCAACTTTCCCTCTTCTGATTCTCTTTGAAGGAGAAATCTTTCATCTACAACGTTGCTACGATAGCGTAGCACAAAGAAGCTGTTATGGAAATCTAGTGACCCTTTGTGAAACTTTCAAAAGAAATTCAATTCAAAATTCAAAAAATTTAAAAGAAAAGAATACTTAGCGCTGAAACAGTTACTTTTTGCTCAAAAAATTCTTACTTATACACTCTAAAACCTTCTTGAAAAAGGTTACTACATGAGGAATTTAGTTTATAAATCTAATAAAGTTGGACCAGTTTCAAAACTTACCAGTCATTATTATAGTGATTTTACAGATTTTCTTTTTCCTTTTTTTTTTTTATAAAAACTCAGCAGGAAACTGTATATACAATTTCGTTTTATTAGCAAAGCAGTCTTTTCTACAAATTATGCTCTTTATTTCTTTTTTTTGATTATAGTAGATACTTTTTTTGATTACTTATTGCATACACTGGGTTTGCAGCCAAAAAAAAAGAAAACTATCACTTATTTTCCTCAAGAATTTTTTAACTTTTAGCTGCAAAGTTTCAACAAAAAATGGTATTAGTAAATCAGAGAGAATAGTAGAGTTATAAAAAACAAAATGTTATTATTGTTTTATACAGTTAATCTTCGTAGAATAATTGATTCCCTTCCTTCTCTTTCTTGTTTTCTGCTTCTTTTTTTCTTCTTTCCCTGAAACTTTCTGAGCTAAAGATAAAAGAGAAAAAAGGAATTTAGGCAAGAAGTAAACTGTAAAAAAATTTAGTGTCTTTCAGTTGGCATATTGATAGTCCTCAAAGTTCACTGCGTTTATATTGACTACAGGTTCTAATTTTCAGATGGTCAATATACGTGATTGTAACTTTTTGAAGTACGGTTCCGCTTATTGGGTTTCTTTGACCATTTCTTTGACTTGTCCAATATGTTTGAACGTAGTTTGAGTGTGGTCACCTTTACGCCACTAAGAAACTGTTTTTGAGGCTGTATTTCACTGTATCGTGTAGTTTATTTATTTATTTTCAAATCAATTTACTATTCTGAGAAACATGGTATCTGTATCTGTCCATTGTGCTCCACCAAACTGAAGCTGTTTGAAGGCCTAATCTCAAATTTGTCAACCTAGTACTACCCATCTGTTGTAGCACGAAAGTAACTTTTTTGGAAACTGTATATAACTACTCGGTAAAAGACTGTTGCTGCACAGCATGAAAATTTGGCGCTTCTAAGCCTTCGAGGATTTACAAGAGTCCATTATTGCTCAATACTGTTCCAGTAAATTGAGTAAAAATACAAAACTTGTTGTTATTAATTTATTTTCTCTCGACTCATGCTTTAATGCATGAAAACTGGCTACTAATCATAAATGCTCATGTTTATTGAGTATTGTTCAAACCATACCAGATGTGTTAAATTGTTTTTGAGTTGAGTCGAAATGTACCTATCCCTAGCAATTCATTTTAGGTTAAAAATTTGTGAAATTCTCCAAATACTATATCTATAATGTAGCATACTCACTTAAGCTCCTAGATGGAACTTGTCATTCCCAGATTGTTCATGAAACGTTATAGGCTTATCCTAAGATCCAGATCAATCGAAAAGAATAAAGAAACTGGTTGCCTACATTGCATTATCAAAAATTTTTTTCCCAGAGGAATACTCTGCAGTTAAATCTGCACACAAACTATGTATTGCTGGAACGATACCCTTAGACATTAGCAAGATCAATAAGGCAATAATATTAATGTTTTACCGTCGGCTAATTCCCTGACCTGAGATTCTACCCTAAAAAGAAAAAATGCATACGGATCTTATCAGAAACTAAAACAGACACATCTTGTTGGAGTCAAAGCAGCAGTTCCTGAAGAACTGATGATTAGCGTTACATCTCTGAAGACAAGGAATTTTTTTCGTACACAGTGTTGCTTACTGGAAGTTGGCGGCCTGATAATTTCGAGAGGTTGGCAGTATTCCAAGGCGTTTCATTTGCATATAAAAACCAAAAAGCTAACAGCAACGCTTTTATATATATGCTTTGAACATTTTACCTTTTTCAGTTTTCCAGTCTTCTAAATTTGCAAGTGAGCTGTCAGTTAAACAAATGACTTTACTGACGAGCTTGATGGCTTTGGAGAATCTCATAAAGTTGATTTGTTGTTCCGTGTTTTGTAAGCAATTTCACTGCAAAAATTGGCGTGACAGTAATTGTACGGTCGTTGAAAAGTAGTTATTCTTCGACTCTATCATATCTGTTTCTGAATCTTTTTCTTCCACTACTCGTTATGTCTTTTAAACGAAATCCTTTGAATCGGTAGATTTACTGTTAGTTTTTAGACGTTTTCTACTCTATTTTTATGGGAATTTTCTTGTTGCTGTATGTTGCCAATAGCGTAATTTAGAAACGGACCTTTAAGCTGATTTCTGTCACAAATATACTGTGTTCGCCAATTTTAACAATTGTAGAACCACTTGTTGAGTAATGTGAAGAGTGAAGAGGTAATTTGAGTGGAAAATGGATTTGGAGCTTCTAGGCATGTTGCATTAAAATTACAAAAAGGTATTTTAATCTACTATACTGAGCATGAGAAGTAGCACAAGACTTAAACTGATACTTTATGGATAGAATTCTAGAAAGTTGGGGAAAGTATCTAGACGAGCCTTAAACCATCACAGATGCATTAAATGGGTTCAGCGCCAATGGTAGGTTGACAGGAAGAAAAAGCGTCTTTAAGAGTCTATACGTTAAGCTGCACTAGCACCAGTAATTTGTTTAATACGAGCTGTGTAAGTATTTGGAAAAATTTTATGAAGTTCATGTCTTCTACGTGAAGTGAACTGAGGAAAGCAAATTTTCTCGACTTTACCGGATACACTTCAAAATATGGGTTACTTTTTACGACAGGAACTGCTATTTTCATTATAGATGCTGCATGATTTTCTTTTGTGTGTGTACGTACAGCCTCTGGAAGGATAGTATACCGACTGCACCATAGTAGTCTACAAAAAGATCTGGTGAGAAAGTATAGGGTACAGAGTGTTATTCAGAATAAGGTCATAGGGAACTAGAAAGGAACCGCATAAGTTGAGATTCAAATTATGAGGATAGGTAATGTGTATCTAAATGAAGCGGCACTTATAGTCATTTGTTGCTAATTGGTTTTAGTTTTGTTAATGGTGCTTTTTGCTATCACAACATATGTTTTGCAGATTGGATTACGAGCGCTTTTTATGGTGGTGTGATACCTAGGATTTCAACGTCCTAAGCAAGATTGGGATTTTCAAGAAGCGTCTTTCAAGGTCCTACTTACTGTATAGCTTGACTGGACTCAGTTTCTTCGGGCATAATGACTTCAATTGAAATTGAGTCTTCAGAGTGAGTCTTTTTAAGTTTTAGTTATTTTCTTGAAGTGGTAGTTATATTTTTTAGGATTTGATTTGGTAAATGTTTTGCGAAATCAAAAGAAGAAAAAGTAATAACTTACTTATCTAAGAAAGTAAAATTGTTTGGTCATTGATGAGATTTTTTAAAAAAATTTAATATCTATTTCGATCATATAAGCCCTTTTGTAAGGGTGACAATTTTGTAATGAAAAAAAGCGAAATTATTTGAAAGTTAAAGAATTACTTGGTTTGGTTTAGGTTTTATTGGAAAGCCAAAGTAATGGTAGTAACTTCATCAGTAACTTTATTTTTAGCGTTGTTCGCTTAATAGAGCAGTATTTGAAGGAAAACAATCTGATGCGCTCTCTTGCTGCCCTGCAGGTTTTTAACTGCTTCTTTTTTCGTTATTGCTGAGTCATCTTTTATTAATTTGAGCTTTTTTCTTCCAGCCACTATACTGTAGTTAAATTTTACATATTTAGGAGGAAACTAATATTACTCTTAATACTGTGGACAGCATAGATTCTTTTGTTCACGAGATTCAGTCTGGTCACTGGGATACTGTGTTGAAGATTATACAGCCCTTGAAACTTCCGGCCAAAAAACTTATTGATCTTTATGAACAGGTACTTTAATTCATTCAATTTCTTGGTTTGCTTTGTATAAAACGTCCAATTTTGTTGTCACTGTAGGTTACAAATAATTTTAATCCTGCAACTATAATATTTATTTGATGATATATACCTCACTGCTTTTCTCGGATTCAGACAGTACCAGAAAAGTTCTTCTATTGAAATTTATCTAAGTAGCTATGTAAAGCGTTCAGTTATTTTGCTGTGACCATATTCTTTATCTTTCTAGTTTTTGAAGTTTATTGAAATTATTTAATTATTCAGTGGGCTTTTTGCGCTCAAAAGTTTTGAAACTTATTTAAAATTCTTTTTTATAAGGGAGTTTCTGTAGTAGACTAATCTTTTTTTTCTTTTTCAATTTCTAATGTAATTGGTGGAATAACTTGTGGCCTATTATAACGCTTAATGTGAAGTTGTGGCAGAGGTTCGATTGCCGTTTTATCGTAATTTAGCAGTTTTTGTAGATGGTAATTGAGTTGACAGAACTGCGCGAACTTGGTTGTGCCCGACTGCTCTTAAGACAGACGGATCCTATGCAATTACTGAAGAATACGGAGCCGGAAAGGTTTGCTTTTAACAGTGCCGTTTTTTGAAAATATCGCTTGAGTATTGTACTACATGTACTGATTCATCTGTTTACCGTCTGCTGTGTTCCACAATAAATTAGTATCTGAAGATTTCTGTGCGTTATTTGGGTATGAGTTTTTTCTGCTGCAGATTTTTGCAGAAGTGAAGAGATGAAGAAGTATACTCGCTAATAGCTTCTTCTATTAGTTCATTCCTTTTTCATCAAGTAGTGTAAGGTGGTTGTGGATAAAATGCCTTCTGTTTGTGGTCTTCCATTTTTGTTGCATTTTTTTGTGCCATAAATCTATTTTTTCTATTTAAAAATTTTTTCGACGTTTAAAGCATAGGTTTTGGTTGGTCGGTGGTACCTGCGGCCTATATGGTCCTTTTGAAGTTTCAGTTTAGAGGATGAATTTCTGTTAATTGGTAATAATTAGCAATTTTTATTCGTTCAGGTATGCTCGCTTGGATAATCTCTTGGCTAGATCTTACTTTGACCCTCGAGAAGTCTATCCGGAAGGGAGCTCCAAAGAAAAACGTCGTATTGCAATTGCTCAGGTAATGAAAATTTTGCTACGACTTTTTTTTTTTTGCTATTACTTGGCGTTACATTAAGATAAAGGCATCATTTTTAAAGCAGCCAACAAACGTGCCTGAGTTTTAAGCTTTTTGAGGGAAGGATTCTTGATTATAGAGGGTTACTGAGATGCAATGATATTGTAAAATTTTGCTGTCCGACGTTTTTTCACTAATTCGTTTTGCTGTTTAGTCTCTTTCTTCGGAAGTTAATGTGGTGCCACCATCTCGTCTTTTAGTACTTCTCGCCCAAGCATTGAAATGGCAACAGCATCAAGGGCTGTTGCCACCAGGTTGGATGACTTCTTTTTCATGTAGGGTCCAGTTCGCATTTTGAAGCATCGTTATTTGACATCTCGTTTACAGATATGGATTCCATCAACTCGTTATCTTGCAGGAACTCAGATCGATCTATTCAGAGGAAAGGCTGCTGTTAGGGAACAGGAGGATGAAAGGTACCCAACTCAGATGGCCCGTCAGATTAGGTTCAGCATGAAAAGTTATCCGGAGTGTGCTGGTTTTACTCCTGACGGTCAGTTTCTGGTTACTGGCTCGGTCGATGGATTTATTGAGGTTAGAGGGATTATGTTTTGGGCGTATTTGCTAATTAGATGTATTTGTTTGGGAATTCTTTTTTTTTTCAGGTGTGGAATTACATGAACGGAAAGCTGCGTCGGGACCTGAAATATCAAGCTCAAGACAACTTTATGATGATGGATGATGCAGTATTATGCTTGTCTTTTAGCAAAGATTCTGAAATGCTTGCTACTGGTTGCAAAGACGGCAAAATAAAGGTATTTCAGAAATTAGTTGCTAAGATTTCTATGTCTTTAGTGTTTTTTCTAGGTATGGAAACTTTCAACTGGTCAATGTTTACGGCGATTGGATAGCGCTCACAGCAAAGGCATTACAAGTGCACAGTTTTCAAAGGATAATGCCCACATATTGTCTTCATCGTATGACCAAGTAATTAGGTAGTTATTTTTCTAGAACCGAGGTTTCAGATGTCATTTTTGATTAAAATAAATATTTATTTTAGAAACCACAAGTTTATTGATTTTACAGACTCTTTTTTGGAGTAAATCTAGTTTTGAATTTTTTTATTCCCTCCACCCTTTGAAACTACCAATAAAAACATTGATAGAGCCATTCAGTCTTTCCTGTGACGTTGAATATTATTTTTTACAGAGTCCATGGTTTAAAGAGCGGAAAATGTTTGAAAGAGTTACGTGGCCATTCTTCTTTTGTGAACGACGTCAAATATACAGAAGTAGGCGACATACATTTTCTGCAGTTGATGACGTTTGTAGTCAGGATTTACACTGCCATGCTTTACAGGACGGGCATTTTTGCATTTCTGCATCAAGTGACGCTACAGTTCGGGTTTGGAACCTCAAAACCAATGAGTGCGTGAATACATTTAGGGTTTCAGGTGACGCTGCGGTAAACAGTGTTCATCTGCTTCCCAAGTTCGATAACCAGTTTATTGTTTGTAATCGTACTAATACGGTAGTGATTGTCAACATAAGAGGACAGGTATAATCATTTGAAATTTTTTTGAGAAGTTATTAGGACAGCATTGGGGGCAATACTGTAGAGTTTGATTCAGATTGTCAAAACATTGACCTCTGGTAAACGAGAAAAAGGTGATTTTATTGATTGCGTTGTTTCTCCTCGCGGCGAATGGGTGTACTGCATTGCTGAAGATCATGTTCTTTATTGTTTTTCTCTAATCAGTGGTAATTTGGAGAGCACTCTTCCGGTAGGAACAATGATTTTGTTAAGTGTTTAAAGCAGAAAATTTCTATTTTAGTGTTACTTAGGCATGTCATTATTTTATGAACTGTGGCTGTACTTGTTGTCATACCAGAAGAGTAACAGCAAAAGTTAACTTTTCAGTTGCACGAAGAAATTGTTCATGGTCTTGCTCATCACCCGCATCAAAATCTGATTGCAACATTCGCCGAAGATGGTCTGCTAAAGTTGTGGAAGCCATAACTTCAGGACGGACTTGTATCTCTTTCATTCTTTTTCAACATATGCGGGAAAGTTTTCCGATGCATTTTAAGTGCATCCATTGCAGCAGTCAGTTTTTATTTTAGATTTCTTCTGCAGTTTTAGAGAAGTTAGATGTATGCTTACAGTTTTTCTTTTGCAAGTTTGCTATTAAGCTTCTTTCATCTGAAACCTTTTTATTTTAAGTTCTTAAACTCGCTGGTGATTTAAAAAATTATTTGAATCCTAGTTGGAGTGAAGGAGTCGCATCGGGTTTTGGAAGTCCTAATATTGTTTAGATATGTGTCATGTATAGAAT